GTGTCTAAACTTTGTTCTCAATTGTCCCTTTCTTCATTTGTTTTGGGTTTGTTGTTGGAGTATAGTATTGTCCACCATATCATAACACTGTTGAAATGTCCTACATCAACCGTATCAATGATAAAAGAATAGTTTAAATACCTTAATCTCACTCCAACTAATACTGAGGCCTTTTGTGATAAATCCCCACACCTGACGGATTATGTAGGTGGTAATTACCAAGTTGGGGACAATATCGGTGTTGTTGGAAGTGGGTCGAATGGCTCGTTTCTTTGATAAGTCTACATGGTATCAGAGCCAGGGAACAGGCTTGTACTGTACTATCATATGATGGGTGGGTCCCCTTGGCCTCACACGATGATGGTGGGTCCCTTGGCCTCGGTGTAAGGTGAGTCCCCTTGGCCCCACACGATAATGGTGGGTCCCTTGGCCCCCGCGTGTAAGGTGAGTCCCTTTCACTCCACGTGGTTGTCGATGTGTGGATCTCCCACATGTGACCCACTAATGGGTCCCACGTGAGGGAGCATGTTGAAATGTCTCACACCGACCGTATCAATGACAAAATAAGACTTTAAACCCTAATCTCACTCCAACTAAAATCGAGGCCTTTTGTGATAAAACCCCACACTTGACGGATTGTGCATGTGGTAATTACCAAGTTGTGGATAATATCGGTGTTGTTGGAAGTGGGTCGTATGACCCGTCTCTCTGATAATTCTACAAACACAACATTTATCCAAATCTACTTTATTATTTGGATGAAAGTCCAGTTTTGTTTTGGTTTGTCTTGTTTTTCATAATAGAGAGAATAAATTCGGTTGCGGAATTTTTTTCACTAAACTAAGAGTTAGCAGGTTCTGAACGATAGAAGTAACATAATTGACGAGTGGAATTTATTTTGAAGAGTGATTGAAGTCTTTGGTTATAAGGTCGGGACAGAAATACAAAGTTATTTCACATTTTCATTCTTTTAATCTGACGTTTAGATTTGCTCTTTTAAGATCATAGCATATTACAAGAGTGGAATTGATAGATTTCTAGTGCTACCACATGCCACATATTCAATTTAAATTCAGAAGACAATGTGTTGAATAAGAATGTTCTAACCACCAGAACAATCTGTTGCTTTCATTGACCTAAAAACTTAAGGATGAAGCCTATAATGGGAGCATAATGAAATCAAGAAAGCTTAACTTAAATCAAATGTGTAGTTGTGTTGACCCTAAAAAACTACTAAGCCTACGTGGCGCGCAGACTGAGTAATTAATAAGCTAACTACGTCATTCGGTTGTTTGTGGGGTGTACCACTCGTCGGGCGAGGAGTAAAATGTGTTGATGTTGCATTAAGTGCACATCTGACTTCTTGATCTTGCGACTGCGGCCGAGGAAGGAACACTCTCGGCCTTCGGGTTCTAGAGCCTGAAGACAAATATGCTAGTTTTGCGAATTCACAAATCGTCGGCGCCGGATTCGGTCACTGTGATTATGTTTGTGAGAGTATAAGCAAGCCGAATAGACACCAGAGTATAGGGACACAAATACTCAAAACAAATGTACGTCGTGATTATGAAAGTGGTTCGGCCGTCAGAATGCCGAATTCTAAAACCTACTTGCGAATAACCAATCATAAACAACTCGGCATTCGATGTGCCAAGCCCTAGTAACACCTCACTTCGCCGAGAAGGCTGATGAGATGACCTCTGCCAATAAGGATCCAAAAATCCTTCTCAACCGAGACTTGGATAGATAACCAATCGACCATGTTGCAGTGCTATTTATCCAAACTGAAGGTGTTTCACGGTCTGCTGATTCTACGGCAACAGTGCTGTTTATCCAAACTGAAGATGTTCGCTGGTTGCCTCCACAATGTTGTTTATCCAGATTGAAGGTATGTCGGCGGAAAAAGAAAGTAAAAACCTCAAGGTTGTTGAGAGGTTTCGCGTAGAACGAGAGTTTACGCAGGGCAATTTGTGTGTTGAATTGGAGGGGCTTTGTTCGATGTCCTCCCTCCCTATTTATAATAGCCAACCTGCATTGAATCCCAATCATTCTCGGATTAGGACTCATTTCCCCAATCCAACCTTATCTCGGCCAGTTCTACTCTTACTAGGACTTTGAACTTAACTTGTTATCAAGCCGCATTCAATCTCAAACTCCATCATCCTTATCTTGTCGAAACTCTTTCTCGTAATAGGACTCACCCACATCCCACAGGTTCCCGATGAGACACGCCCAGCTTCGACTGCGCGGCCCGTGAGCTGGATAACCCCCAACGACACTTAAACATGGCCTTTGGGCCGAGAACAATTCTAAACTCGGCCCAAACCAATATTTTTGGGCCCAAACAAGTTGGTACCAAAAGGATAGGAAGCAAAGGATGGTAACTTGAAATTGATTGTCTACACTCTTTAGAATTACAATTTAGTAAGTTAAAATTATTTGAAAACATGATTCCTATTTCTATGCAACAAGTTAATGTGTATATGCATATAGAACTCGTGATATGCAAAATGACACAACTCGAATTAACCCCGTATGCTTTCTATTTTTAACATGAATTAGTCTTAGGTGGTCAGGGGCTAAGCGCTTACGCGTCTTGACGAGGCTTAGGTTTTCTTTTTAATTTTAATTAAATTTATTAAATATTATATAAATAAATGTTTATTTGTACTTAAAAATACATAATTGTATTGGGATACATAAATTGCAAAATAGAATAACATATAAAGCTCGTTTAGCAAATGCTTTTAAAACATTGAAAGCGCTTTTATGGAAAATGTTTTTGGGTTCCAAAAGCACTTGAAGTGCTCTCTGCTAAAAGCACCAGTTATGTGCTTTTTGCTGGAAACACTTAAGGTGTTTAGAATTAACTTGCATCTTTGTTAAGATTTGGTTCAAAAAACATTTTATTTAAAATCGCTTTCAGTCGTTCCCAAATGAGCTCATAGATTATAAACTATTAGAATATATAGAAAACATAAGGAATAAGCATATAATGAGTTTTCATTTAAGAATTTAAAAAAAGTCTTTTACAACTATTGAAAAAATAAAATGAAAAATGAAAGTTATGTATTTTTTGTCTAAGTGAAAGTTGCAGCCTAAGCGAGCTATGCGCTATTTCTTAATTTTCAAATGTTTAGGAATTAATCGAAACAGTAGACAATCGGCTAGCACCTAGGTAAAATATTTAGAACAGTAAATTAATATTATTGAATTATTGGAAAAGAAAAAAAAACCTAGAATGAGGCTTCAAGGCCCAAATACATCTTAGCATCCGGCCCACATCCAACTCATTACCCAACTTTTTATGCAACTCTTGACGGGACCCCAGACGGCTCAACCAATGACATAACGCCAAAACACCAGCATGTCATACGTGTCGCACCGCTATTGGCTGAACCGCTAAACACTGGGACCCGCACATCAGTACAAATCAATGAATCTGAAGTGGGAGAGGAGTGTCTGAGAGTTCACAGAACTGAAAAAGCAAAGAGATGGCTAGAGCGACGTCGTTGCTGCTCTGTACCCTCGTCCTCTTTGGAACCCTAGCTCTCATTGAGGTGAAATTTATAGTTTTGATTAAATTTATTAATTTTGTTTGATTCAATTGCGTTTTCAAGGATTAATGTTTAAATTTTGTGTAAATTCTTGATCAGGCAAAGAAGTCGAAGGAGGATCTGAAGGAAGTGACCCACAAGGTTTACTTTGATGTCGAGATATCTGGAAAGCCTGCTGGTATGCTGTTTAATTTGCATTAATTTTGTTAATCCTTAGAACAAATTCGACCCATTTGCTCAAAATTCAATTGGATTAAGGGACTTTAATCCCAGATTTGATATTGATTTCCGGTTAATATGATATATGAGCTCAATTGGGAGCTGAACGCCGATAGGTGATCATTTGTGTAGAGGTGGATGTGTTTCTGTGGAGTTGGAGAAATGTTTATGTGCATAGAGTTTTGCAAATGAAAATTTGGGTGCCCTAGTTTGATGAATTATTGGGATTTTTTTTGGTGGTGGTGCTTTTTGTTTCTGGCTAATCGGTATTGATACTTGTTTCGATCACTGTGTTTCAGGACGGGTTGTGATCGGTCTCTTTGGGAAGGCGGTTCCCAAGACTGCAGGTATTGAATAATATTACTATCATTTTGTGGGTTCTATGTGTTAAACTAAGTCTAACAATTTCAGAACATTACTAATTCATTCCTTTGGTGTTTCAGAGAATTTTCGAGCTCTTTGCACAGGTAACCAGTTACTCATCTTCGTTTCCTCGTATTAAGTTTAGCAGTTGATATGTAGTGTCTACTTTTTGGGGTTTATCATCAGCAATGTATATGAAATGGTCCTTGCTCGAGGCCTTCAAGTTCAGTAACAACTCAATAATTAAAATGGAAGGATGCAAATATTTAGTTGCTACGTACAAATTTTCTGCATACTGCATTAGAACACATTGATTAGAAAGTTGTAAGAGTCGACAATGTTTATAAAGTTTTGAGCTTTTTTGCCCAAATATTTCAGGGGAGAACGGCGTTGGAAAGAGTGGAAAACCTCTCCATTTCAAGGGTAGCAAATTCCACAGGATTATACCCAGTTTCATGATCCAAGGAGGTGATTTCACACTAGGTGATGGAAGAGGTGGAGAATCAATTTACGGAGAGAAGTTTGCTGATGAGAATTTCAAGCTAAAGCATACCGGTCCAGGTAGAGAAATAACCCATCCCACCTGCCTTCTCTTCCAGTGGCATGGATAGCTAGCACCCAATATAATCTTGAAGTTTGAACCTATATTATGTTGTGAACAAAACGCTTGCTCTTTTTTACAGGGCTTTTGTCAATGGCAAATGCTGGTCCCGACACCAATGGTTCACAATTCTTCATCACAACTGTGACAACTAACTGGTAATTCTATGTGCATCCATGCATACTTGAAAAAGCTAAGAATATCTCTAGAATGACTATCTGCTTCTGCATGTTGCATCACTTTCTTAATTTGTGTAATTCCGGCACTTGTTGGTTTTGATTAGAGGAAGCGATTTTGGTTTGCTTTCTCGTGGAGACCAATAGTGCTTACAGTGAATGCCTGATTCCCACCGTTTTGGTGAGAGTTGGGCAGCGGCCAGACAACCGTAGTGATGGTATCCACAGATGGCGGGTTCATTCTGTCCCCTTTTTCTACTGATTCCATCTCACATTTCTTAAATTTCAATCCTATTCCTTGTATAATTCTACACTTGCGCTCATTTAAAATAGTGCTCAACTACTGATTTCATTAGTTTGATCTGAAGCCCTATCCCGTAACAAGGAGGAGGTCCATTACCACTTCTTTTTTAACAGCCATTGGTTTACACATGTATAGTTATCAAAGCTAAAGTTTGATTCCGTATTTGAATGTTTATAGGTTGGATGGCAAACATGTTGTATTCGGAAAGGTGCTGTCCGGAATGGATGTGGTTTACAAGATTGAAGCTGAAGGAAACCAGAGTGGCACACCCAAGAGCAAAGTCGTGATTGCCGACAGTGGTGAACTTCCTCTCTAGATGTTCCTATCGTAGTCTCTCCATTTACCGAGTGCCAATAACTGTTCCGATTTCTCCTTGATTTTCGTTTGTGTAAGACCGGTGAAGATGTTATAGCTCATGTACCGAGTGTGTTCTTACTTTAAGTTCGATAACATCTACAGAATGTTCACGTTATTTTCCCTAAACCCAAAACCCTCCTTGTAAGGACAAGTTTCAAGTTTGTGATAACGTTAACCCTACCAGAAAGAACCATTCATGCAATTGAATTTTAGTTTTAGTGGCGTCACTATCTAATAAACGTTTATCATGTGCTTAAAAAGTGCATTCATCTTTTAAGGGACGATTACCATGTCATGAGTTAGTGGCATGAGAGAATCTCTCATTTCAGAACTTTCCTTTTCATATCATTTGGTTTACTATTTTTCTTATCTAAAACAGAACTTTAAATCACTCATCCCACCTAAACAAAGAAAAGTGAATAAAGCAATGACGTCATTGCTTACTTGATTTACTAATGGCGGGTTTCACAAGGATTAGATATGGGTACACCGTCAAGTTGACGTATTGGTCCAATAACACAATATCATGTTGAATAAAATCATATCACACTATTATTTGAGCCGAAACGCCACCTTGGTTGTTACTTGTGTACCCAATCCATCTAAAGTGCTCATGCAACTTAAGGACTAAGTTGGATTGCAATAATCATCAAAACATGAATTCCATTATTTACAGAAGCGATTCCTGCACTTCTCATTTGTTTATCTCTTAATTTCCTGCCATTAACTGCATCATGTGGCTATAAACACGAGAAAAAATAGAGTACGAAAATCATTTTCCATCGTAATAGCGAGCATCAACCGTTTGTGTTATGAATCTTGTGGCCACTTTTGGTTTTGGAATTTTTTACAAATACCAAATCCGCAATACACTCACTTGGTCACTCACCCCCACACCCACCCACAAGTTTCCCCGACACCCATTGACGCAGTCCACTCCTCCCCCACATGACATCAACATGCATGCATGCAGGCACATGTATGTATGATCATCTCAACATACATACACCTCATCCGTTACATGCGTGTGTACGTAAGCATTTACGTCATATCTCACAACCAGAAACCTGACACGTCACCCCTTCGGCTTTATCCAACCACCGGCTGCCGTCCCCGAAACTCACTCTTTTGTCGTCTCCCTCTCTGCTGAGCTGTTCCTCACACTTGTGCTCTCTCTCTCTCCTCCACAGGTCCCACACACTCTCTCTCTCTCTCTCTCTCCCCGAAAGAAAAAAAGTCTCCGTTTCTTCTTCTTCTTCCTCCTGCGATATAAAATCGAGCTGCAAACCCCGAATTCAAGCTCTTTTCACTCTCAATTTCCTTCTTTCTGAGTCATCTTCTCTCTCTTCTCAATCGAATTAAATTGAATAAAAATAAATTATCTTGCTTTTTAAGAGAGCCTCAGCCTCAGACGGCGGAGGATGTTATAGGCCGCCCCAAGTATTCCTAATTGCATCCGTCGTGCTCTGCCGTTCACGTCTGGAGCTCCGCCACCCAGCTCCTCCGTTCGATTACAAGGTATGTAATTTGGATTTGGATTGAGATTGGGATTGCAATCGGGGGTTGAATTTTGAGAATTTGTTCATTTCGGGGTTCGGATGTTGGGAATTTTGTTGAAATTGATGTTGATTTGAAGTTCTCGTAACTGAAATGGGTGTTGGTTTTTTTGGGAATTTTGAAATTCGTGTTCGAAGTCTGAATCTTTGTGTGTCAATTTTTAAAATTGATCGTTGAGGTCTGATCATTTGGTATTGGAGTGAAGAAAATCAAGCAAATTGATTTGATATTTCAAAATTTTAATGGTAGAAATAGATAAATTGAGGTAAATATGCCTGCTTGGTGGGGAAGAAAATCAAGCAAGAGCAAAGAGGAGCAAGAGAAGGCAGTCCAGCACAAAAACCCCTACTCTAACCGCAACAGCAACAACTTTGTCAACAAATCTTCGATCAGTAACGATAATAAGAAGAAGGAGAAGGACGAAAGGCCGAGGAGCTTCGACGAACAAGTCACGCGGGCATCACCGAGAGCCAGCAGGGAATTTAGTAGCGTTGTCGGTGTCTCTTCTTCTGGCTTTTTGGGTTTTGACTCAGATGGCGGTGAGAGAGCAGCTCATCCCCTGCCTCGCCCATCGGTGTCGTCCCTGCAGGGTTTGGCTTTGGGAAATGATCAGGTCAATGGGTTAGGATCTGGGTCCGCCTCTGTTTCAAGCGTCAGCTCCTCTGGCTCCGACGACCCACTGGTTGCTCATTGTGGTGCTGCTTCCAGCTATAGGTTGGTTTTTTTCTCCACAAAACCCCTGCGTTTTCGGATGAGATAATTTTCTGTTCTGTGCACAATTTGGGACTTTTGAATGTTTTTTCATTCAGTTCAAATCAATTCAATTCATGCTTATAAGAACTTTAATTCAAACGTTCAGTTCCAATCCATACATATATGGTTTAACTGTTTCATTTGTGAATTTATTGGATTCATAGTTACTTATTGGATATTAATTTAGTAATTAGTTAGCTAAATACTCTTGCCTTCTCCATAGAGTTTTTGCTGTCCGAATTTGAGTGATTATCAGCTACTTTTCTGAGTTATTAACTTTTTGAGCTGATATTTCCTTTCCAAACTGGTTTTGGTTTTCTGTCATAGTAGAGTTTGATTTTCTTTTTATGAGGCCACTTGTTTTTAGCATTAACCACATCATGCTGATTAACATAGATATTTTAAGCTATAAATCTTACTATAAATCTTACTAGAATATTTATCAACTTGTTTTGTATTAAGTTGATGGCTTTATTCTTATATTTCCACAAGATGATGATTGGGATCATTGGAATATTTTTTTGATTATATCTGAGATATAAAGAATAATTTTATGCTTCTTATCAATGTCCTATATTATTTACAGATGTATTGGTGATCCAAAGGTCAGCATGATGCCGAAAAGCCCAGGTCCTAGGTCTAGGGGGCCAACTAGCCCAACATCTCCTCTTCACCCACGATTGTGTCCCATGGGTTTGGAGTCTCCAACGGGAAAGCAAGAAGATGGGAAAAGTGTGTATCATCCTCTTCCGCTCCCTCCAGGTTCCCCAACTAGTCCTTTTGCCTTGGCCAGCAGTAGAACTAGTCCAGTCACTGAAAACACAGCTTGTGCGCTATCAAAGTGGAAGAAGGGAAAGCTTTTAGGAAGAGGGACCTTTGGCCATGTTTATGTTGGGTTTAACAGGTAAATGTGAATTTTACTTTTGTGGTGGATTGATTAATAACAAAAAGTGAACGGTCATGTTTGTTAGTTTTGGGAACTAAATTGAATATTTATTCTTTGGGCAAGGGAAACAAAAACTTCAGGCACAAAAATGATTGTATGTATGCACGCACTTTGCACATTACCCTGGAATTTATAAAGGAAACAAAATGGATTCCAAAGTGAGGGCACCAAATAATTGTTTTGCAATAATTGGAGTGCAGACAAGATGTCCTGTTACCATGTATATGTATTCCTTTATTCCTTTTCCTAACTTTTGCTTGTGACATTGACAGTGAAAGTGGGCAAATGTGTGCAATAAAAGAAGTCAGGCTTGTTACAGATGATCAATCATTAAAAGAATGTCTTAAGCAACTGAACCAGGTAACTTTGTCCAGCTACCTTGAAAATATCAGGCATGATGCTTTGCTCCAATTGAGTTGGTATTTCGAGCTGTCACTGAGCATTTACAGTAAATTTACATTGTTAGAAATCTCTCTATCTGATTGTTGGTGCGGACTGGTTTGCATCTAACCTTTTGTTGTTGACAGGAGATAAATTTGCTTAGTCAGCTCTCACATCCAAACATTGTTCGATATCATGGAAGTGAATTGGTGAGAGTTAAATATACTGCTTTAAATGCTGATAAACATGCTTGTCCATTAGCAATAAAAAATACATGCACATTGCCTGAACGCATACATTGGTGTGGGGATAGAAAAAGAGAGCGATGGGTTATTTATTTTCAATTGATTTGGTTAGTTGTTGATTTGGATGTTGCATCAAGGGTTACTATCAACTTTGGCTTGTCCTTTTCAGGGTGAAGATGCACTCTCTGTTTATTTGGAATATGTGTCTGGTGGCTCAATTTATAAACTACTACAAGAATATGGCGCCTTTAACGAACCTGTGATTCAAAATTATACCAGACAGATTGTATCTGGTCTTGCCTACTTACACGAAAGAAATACAGTTCATAGGTGTGTGAGTTTTAATACCTGTAATGTCTTCATTATCTTCCTTTCCCTCATTTTCAATCATATGGTGGTCCGGCATATGAATACTTGTCTTCCCTTTTTTCTAGGTCAGCAATATTTTGTACAAAATCTAATTTTTTTTCTTTTCAGCCTACAATAATTTTCTTTATCTTTTACCTTCCTACTTTTACACTGATAATGATTTATTAAATCTTTTTAATTAAAGTTCTGGCGGTTGTGTTCTATCTTTATGATCTTTTTACTAATTTGTTTTTCCTTGCAGGGACATTAAAGGAGCAAACATATTAGTGGGTCCTAATGGTGAAATCAAGTTGGCAGACTTTGGCATGGCTAAACATGTAAATTGCATCTCATTCTCTGCACATTGAATTCTTAGTGAAGTAATGAAGGCATAGAATTGCTAATTTATCTCAAACATGAATGTGTCTAGGAAGAGTAAGAATGAAACTGTTAAGTGTTAACTATACGATATGTCTTGGCATTCAGGAAACCAGGACAAAATAATGTCACAAGGATCTGTTTTCATTGTGACAACCATAAGACGTTTGCTAGAGGGAAAAAATTGTAAGGTTTTATGGAAGGTGGTCTGTTGGCTATTTATCAGGTGCTTTGGTTCAAGAGGATATTTTAAAATTACGAAGGAGATAGAGTGGAGGTTATTCAGGATAAAGTAAGATCGGACCACACTTCGGGCTTTGGTTTCTCCTCAATTTCGGGAGTTATCATTTTCTATAATCTTTGCACATTGAAGTGCAGTTAATAAGTTTTGTCATTGTATTTTTTCCTGTTCTTAGCTGGGTGTTAGGAATTGGCTTATTGTTCTGTATTTCTTATCTGCATATTTAAGAGTGGTATTTGACTAAGGAAATCGAAGAATAGTATGTAATTGTTAGTTTTCCTAGTCGGTTTTCTCAATCAATTTTGAGAAATCTGATGATTTTATGTTCTGATTCAGATCACAAATTGTGCTTCAATGCTGTCATTCAAGGGAAGTCCTTATTGGATGGCCCCAGAGGTACTTATCTCTCTCAACATCTTTTTTTCCCTCTTTTTTCCTTTGTATTGTTTGCATCCAGTTCACTGTAGTGGAATTTTCAGTTCATGAAATGTTAATTTCAGGTTGTAATGAATACAAACGGCTATAGCCTTGCCGTGGATATATGGAGCTTAGGATGTACAATTCTCGAAATGGCAACTTCTAAACCTCCTTGGAGCCAGTATGAAGGGGTGCGATATACTGTTCAGAACCTATTGCTTTAAAAAATTTCTTTGTTATCATCAGCTACAAAGTGTTTGTTGCACCAAAACTTGTTTCCTTACATCGGGTTCAACAGGTGGCTGCAATTTTTAAAATTGGAAACAGCAAAGATATTCCACATATTCCTGATCATCTTTCAAATGATGCAAAGAGTTTTGTGAGGCTATGTTTGCAACGGAACCCATCAGAGCGTCCTACGGCTTTTGACCTTCTAGAGCACCCATTCATTAGAGAGCAAACAACGACAAGATCTTCTAACATGAAAGTAACCAAGGATGCCTTCCCATATGCTTTTCATGGAAGCAGGACGCCGGTAAAGCTTATTAACTTTCTACTGCATATTTTAAGCTTTTAGTTTGTGGGCCAAATTATAGAAAGAAGTGTGGAATCTAGTTTGCGCTTGAGATTATTTGGAGAAGTTACACTGCATTTTGTTAAACGATTTATTGACATATCATCATCCATGTTATGTCTTGAATCGTTAAACTAGTATTTCCAACAAGTCTCAATCAAACCTAAGCGCTTGCCCAACCTGATTTCTATTTAATTTCTTTCTCTGAACAGCCAGTATTAGAGCTACACTCCAACAGAACAAGTTTCACCCTGAGTGATGCAGATCACACTGTGAAGCCCACAATCGCAACTTCAAGAGATGTGCGGAGCCCCAGGTAAATATATTCTGCCCGTCATATCCTCATCGATGTAGTCTGTCGAACGTGTTATAATGTAAAATGACTCTTTATCAATCTTGTATATGCAGAGAGAATATAAGGATGATTACATCTTTGCCTGTATCTCCTTGTTCAAGCCCCTTACGACAATATGGAGCAACACACAAGAGCTCTTTTCTTTCTCCCCCTCACCCAACTTACGCGATGATGGGACAGAGTAGTTACAACTTGAGCGACTACTCATCGTATAACAAGCTAAGTCCAACTACGCCGTACACTCTTGATCCTTGGCAGGAAACAACACTACTTAATGCCCAAACGCTTGGCAGTTCACCAAGAACAAGACCCATTGGAATGTAAATATACCATAGAGAACATAAATTGTCCAGTCTCCCCAGCAGTGCCTGATGAACCGGAGCCACACCACTTTGGAAGGAAATATTTTGGTCATGCGCTCCCCCGCTTAGCAGTTTTGGTTGTTTATGTTGCTTTCCGTTGGGAGAGTGACTTGATTGTTACGTGAAAGGGAATTTGAAAACGAGGGAATTGATGGACAACACTAAACATGCGTTGCATGGGGAAGATAGTGGACTGTGTGATCCTGTAACGACATATTATTCGGATTGTTGTAAATGGAAGCCGGTCCCTTGTGTAACATTTTATGTTTTATACTGATTGTTCATAACGAAATATACAGAAGCCTGAATCACATCGTTTACGTGGGAGGTTGGCAGCGGCCGGTCAGATAACCGGAGTGATGGTATCCACATATAACGGGCGGGTCCATCGTTCCTTTTTCCGTGTGTTCAAAACTAAAATTTTGGCTCGTGTTTGGCTGGTCGAAGCTGAAAATTAAATTTCTAGATTTAGTGACCAAATATGAATTGAGCCAAAACATAGTGACCAAAGATCCATATCACTCCCTTGAAATTGTGTACCATTTGGTCATTGACGTCAGCTCCGTTAACGTAATTTGTAGTTAAGGATGAAGGTAATTCCATTGTACAAAACCAACCCTATTTGAAATACTGCGAACGTTTCATATTGGTCCCCTACAATCAAATGAAACTCCCAAACAAAAATTAATCTTTACAAGAGTTTCTGGAAGGTCGGATCAGTTATGAAACCAGTTGATGACTTATTTTTACCATTTACTTGCCGAAACCAAACAGAAAGACGAATTCTAATTTTGTTAATCTCAACATTCAGTTTCTTTAACCATTTATAATTCGTTTGATCATTACCAAACCAGTGTTCTCATTGTTCTTCATTCGTTCGTTTGATCTTGTGTTCTTGTGTGGTTCGATCCATTTGTGCAGGAGGAAGGCTGACTGACTTACCTCTTTCGAGGAGGAAAGAGTCTAAGGCTTCAAAGAGTTATCGCCTTATCTGTGCGACATGGCTGCGGTCGAGGAAACACAGCAACCACTTTTGGATAATAATGCAGGAGGAGGAGGAGGAGAAGGATCAAGTTCAATAGCCCCAAAGCCAAAACAACCGAAAACCCCGGCACGAAAGGCCATTAGAAAGACCTTCAAAGGCACGGCCCATTTGTCTAATCTTCTCCCCACGGGGACCGTCCTCGTGTTCCAAATGTTCTCCCCCGCTTTCACACGCCAAGGGAAGTGCCCGGCCGTCCTCAACCAAACCATGACTGTGCTCCTCCTAACTTTCTGCAGCCTTACCTGCTTCCTTATGCGCTTCACCGACAGCTTGAGGGACGAAAGAGGCAAGGTCCGATACGGGTTGGCGACATCTAAAGGGTTGTGGATTCTCGACGGTTCCAAAATCACACTTGCGCCGGAGGAGGCAGATAAATATAGGGTAAAGTTCAGAGATTTTTTCCATGCCTTCATGTCCGTACTTGTATTTGCTGCGGTGGCAATGTTTGATCAAAATGTCGTCAATTGCTTCTACCCCAAGCCATCGGAGGAGGCCAGGCAGCTTTTGGTGGCGTTCCCTGTCGGAATGGGTATCGCATGCAGCTTGTTGTTTGTTTTATTCCCCTCCAGACGCCATGGAATTGGCTTCCCTCTCTCTCGAAGCTAGCTTGAGAGAATAAAAGTCTTGGAAAATTTAATACATTTTTCTTAAGTGTGTTATTATCATATACGTCAAATATATGAAAATTCTTGGAAAATCTTTCTATTGATTATTTTCTGATCGAGATGTATGGATACACTGGATCCAACCCTCAACTCTCCTTTCTTGGTTCATTGATATTGAATCAATCAAATCATCAGATTATAGAAGTTCATAATTCTAGCCCATTCCCTTTTTAGGTTGGATGCTTGCTTACAATTTAGAATCCGTTATTATATGTTTGTTCTAGTCTTTGTTGATCCATCCGCACCTTCTAGTACGGTTACGTTGTAATGACTTCACTCCATTCACTAGCTCTGCCTTCGGCATCCTTCTTAAGACCAAAGACTTGGGTGGATAGAGGGGGGATCTCTCCATTCGTTCTGGCCAAGAAAAAAACCGCAGCGCCAATACATCTGTGAGAGAATATTTGAGGTACTGAAACCATTCAAAGAATCCCCCAATAACTTATCTAGCACTGTACAAATAATTCCTATTCAAAGAGTGCATAATCGCAAGAATAAGCTCACGCTATCTTGAATGCATATCAAAAGCAAGGTTTTCAGGTTGTCTTTCTCCTTTTTCCGATGAAAACTTCAATATACACAATAACGGTTAATTTATGATGATGGTAAATTGGTAATGGGATGGAGGGTTCAGGGTTTGATTCCACTGATCATTTACTTCATGTACAAGAAAACAATAACCAAAGAGTCGTTAATGGTGGCGGACAATAACATTGTGTGCATGAGTTCAATGTTTTGAGGAAATTTGGAATACCTTACCTTGTCAATCAAAACTTGTGTTTCCTCTCCCAGCTCAACATTTAATTAGCTCGGATGTTTTGATTATAGTCACAAGATTGAGTTCAAGGGTACTTGGAGTGACATCGCCTACAAAGCAGGTTGTCTTCACATCCTCAACCTGGTTGAGGATGTGAAGAACGGAATCTCTATGGGCCGAAAATGAAATTTTCAGTATGATAACAAATGGTGTGTGAGTATCAAGGTGGATGGTATTTAGAAGAATGCAGTTCTTCCTAATGTTGCTAGTACCGAGTCTTAACAAGGATCCCCGAAGGTTTTCCGAACTTCGGGATGAGATTTTGAAAAATTAAAACCGAACCAAAATTTCAGTTTTTCCAAACTTCTGTATTCTAGAAAATTTTTTTATCCGAACTTTTGTATTCTAGATTTTTTTTTAATTTTTCGATTGAGTGAGAGTCTTGTGAGAGAGTCGGAGAGAGAGGGAGAGTGAATCTATGAGTGAGTGGGTGAGTGAGCTTAGAGAGGTCAATCGAGAGAGAGAATGAGTCAGTTCAATTGAGAGAAAGAGTCGATGACTCACTATGATTGTGTTATCGGATTCGAAGAGGATGGGGAAGTGAAACAAGGAGGAGAAAATAATCCAGAACAAAATCGCGCTAAAGCTAGGGCGTCACCCGTAAGTGGCGCGCTGTGTGGCCCGAGCACAGTGATAAGTGAGCAAGGGTCGCTATATCTCCATCGGCACCCGGATGCAGTGTTAAATGAGCAAGGGGGCCATAGAAACTTCTTTTCGAACGACTCCACTCAAAGTTGTTTGGGAGCATATGCTCCTATCAACTTTACACGGGACACACAAAAGAAGTACTTTGATCCTATTAGACGGGGGAGGGTGAAGAAGCTAGGACAGAAGGGTAGAGTTCAAGAGAGCAAAATGCGTTTAGGAACGTGGAATATAGGAACCTTAACGGGAAAATCTATGGAAGTAGTGGAAGTTATGGTGAGGAGAAGGATAAATATTATGTGCCTACAAGAAACTAAGTGGGTGGGTTGGTAGTAAGGCAAAGGATCTAGAAAACTCAGGGTTTAAACTTTGGTATTCGGGCACAAATAGAACGAGAAACGGTGTTGGCATCATCGTGGACAAGACCTTGACACAAGATGTTGTAGATGTCAAGAGGGTAGGAGATAGAATCATGGCAATCAAGATTGTAATAGGACAAGAACTTATCAATGTGATTAGTGCGTACGCACCTCAAGTAGGGTTGGATACGAGTTCGAAGGAGAAATTTTGGGAAGACCTTGGAGACTTGGTGCAAGGAATTGCTCAGACGGAGAAGTTATTTATAGGAGGAGATTTAAATGGACACGTGGGCAGGGAGACAGGCAACTATGGAGGTTTTCATGGTGGCCATGGTTTTGGGGAGAGAAACGAGGATGGGGAAGCTATCTTGGATTTTGCAATGGCATATGATCTCTTCTTAGCCAACACCTTCTTTAAGAAGAGAGAAGAACATGTGATCACCTACAAGAGTGGGTCGTCAAAAACACAAATAGATTTTCTTCTAATGAGGAAAGGGGATCGTATAACTTGTAAGGATTGCAAAGTTATACCAGGAGAGAGCGTGGCTAATCAACATCGCTTGTTGGTGATGGATGTACATATCAAAAGAGTGAGACAAAAGAACAAGACTTGGAAGTGCCCAAGGACTAGATGGTGGAATCTAAAAGAAGAAAAACAAGCCATTTTCAAAGAGAAAGTAATCACCCAGTGTGTGTGGGATAGAGAGGGGGAAGCTAGCCAAATGTGGGATTCCATGGCTAGTTGTATCCGAAAAGTAGCAAAAGAGGTATTAGGAGAGTCCAAGGGCTTTGCCCCACACCAAAAGGAATCTTGGTGGTGGAATGAGGAGGTACAAACAAAGGTGAAGGCTAAGAAGGAATGTTGTAAAGCCTTATACAAGGATAGGACCGATGAAAATGGTGAAAGGTATAGAAAAGCGAAGCAAGAGGCGAAGAAAGCTGTGAGAGAAGCTAAGTTAGCGGCTTATGACGATATGTATAAACGACTAGATACCAAAGAAGGAGAGTTGGATATCTATAAACTAGCTAGAGCAAGGGAAAAGAAGACAAGGGACCTAAACCAAGTGAGGTGCATCAAGGATGAGGATGGAAAGGTTCTTGCTACAGAGAACGCGGTTAAAGACAGATGGAGAGGTTATTTTCATAATCTTTTCAATGAAGGACATGAAAGGAGTGCTTCTTTAGGGGAGTTGAGTAACTCAGAAGAGTGTAGAAACTACTCTTTTTTATCGTCGAATCCGGAAGGAAGAAGTGGTTGTAGCTTTGAAGAAGATGAAGCATAGAAAAGCAGTAGGCCCAGACGATATACCAATCGAAGTGTGGAAAGTTTTGGGAGAGACAGGTATAACATGGCTCACTGACCTTTTCAATAGGATTTTGAAAACGAAGAAGATGCCAAATGAGTGGCGAACGAGCACTTTGGTGCCTATCTACAAGAATAAGGGCGACGTACAAAATTGCATGAACTATAGGGGTATTAAGCTAATGAGTCATACAATGAAGCTCTGGGAGAGAGTCATTGAGCATAGATTGAGGCAAGAGACACGGGTTTCGGACAACCAATTCGGGTTCATGCCAGGGCGCTCAACCATGGAGGCAATCTATCTCTTACGAAGATTGATGGAAAGATATAGAGATGGGAAAAAGGATTTACACATGGTCTTTATAGATTTGGAAAAAGCGTATGATAGGGTCCCAAGAGACATTCTTGGAGGATTTTAGAGAAGAAAGGAGTACGAGTAGCATATATCCAAGCTATAAAGGATATGTATGAAGGAGCAAAGACTGCCGTAAGAACTCATGAAGGACAAACCGAAAGCTTTCCCATAACTGTAGGATTACATCAAGGCTCATCCTTAAGTCCTTACCTTTTTGCGTTGGTAATGGATGAGTTAACAGGACATATTCAAGATGATATTCCTTGGTGTATGCTTTTCGCAGACGATATAGTGTTGATAGATGAAACTCAGGAAGGGGTAAATGCAAAGCTTAACCTTTGGAGAGAAGTGTTGGAATCTAAAGGTCTTCGCCTAAGCCGATCAAAGACAGAATATATGGAGTGCAAGTTCAGTGCAAATGGAGGCCAAAACGAGTTAGGGGTGAGGATCGGAGATCAAGAAATACCAAAGAGCGACCGTTTTCGTTACCTAGGATCTATCTTGCAAAAGAACGGAGAATTAGATGGAGATCTCAACCATAGAATACAAGCTGGATGGATGAAGTGGAAGAGTGCATCCGGCGTGTTGTGTGACCGCCGTATGCCACTGAAGCTCAAGGGAAAATTTTATAGGACGGCAATAAGGCCGGCGATGCTGTATGGCACAGAATGTTGGGCGGTGAAGCATCAACACGTACACAAAATGGGTGTAGCGGAGATGAGGATGCTTCGTTGGATGTGTGGGCACACGAGAAAGGATAAGATTAGGAATGAGGATATCCGGGGTAAAGTAGGAGTAGCCGAAATTGAAGGAAAGATGAGAGAAAATCGGTTACGGTGGTTTGGACATGTGCAAAGAAGGCCTACTGACGCTCCGATTAGAAGATGCGACTATGGGACAGAGGTTCAGGGCCGAAGGGGTAGAGGAAGACCTAGGAAAACTTTGGAAGAGACTCTAAGAAAAGACTTAGAGTACTTGGATCTAACGGAAGGACATGACACAGGATCGAGCACAATGGCGTTCTAAGATTCATATAGCCGATCCCACTCAGTGACTTGGATTTTCCAAGTCTCCAACCGAGAAGTTTTCCTCACTCGGGAAATTAAGGGAACACTACCTCAACCTACATGCTCCACTCACAAAGCTTCAACATACAAGCTTCAACAAAAGAAAATTCAAAGAACTTAGCGAAGAAGGCTTTGGTGTATTTAACACAATACGTTGAAATGAAGGAAAGCTTATTTATTGATATCCCCGATAAGTTACAAATATGTACATATACATGAGTCAAAATAAACAAACAAGAGGGAGCCTTCACAAAGGTTGCTTAGGAGAAGTCTCAGCAGTCGGTAGAGCCCCAGAAAGAGAAGGCACCGGAGGGGGATCATTCGGAGCCTCAGTACTGGACAGAACCCTAGAAGGAGGAGGCATCAGAGGTTGATCATTTGGAGCTTCATTACGCGGTACAGCCCCAGAAGACGAAGGCAATAAATGCCTTTGGAACAAACCCACAAATCTCTGATGATCAAGTAAAACCTGACCATCAGATTCCTTCATCTGGTCAAGCTTCCTCTTCATGTTTGTAGCATAGTCATGTGCGAGCCGGTGCAACTGTTTATTCTCATGCTTGAGCCCTCTAATCTCCTGTTTGAGACTCATCACTTCAGCCGCCAATGATTCAACTTGGCGGGTTCGAGCAAATAGGCGTTGGGCCATATTAGACACAGAACCTGCACACTGAACACTGAGAGCCAGAGAATCCTTAACAGCCTAACTCATCAGACCGTTTGGAAAGTAGTCTGTTATCTTTGGGAGTGAGAAGGTTCCTGGCCACCACCGCAGCGGTCATATCATTCTTCATCACGGAATCCCCAACGGTAAGAGGACCAGTAGGGGAGACGAAGGATG